CGCAGGCCGGCGGGGGTGGGGGGCCGTGGCCTGGGGCAGGGGCTCAGCCCTGGATTCCTTCGGGATAAGCAGTAAGTATATTTTTTAAAAAACCAAGACCCCCCCCCCCAAAAAAGCGAGAATTAAGTAAAATGTAATATTCTCGTGCTGCGGGAGAAGGAAGATGTCCTAAGTTTAGAACTAATACGGGGAACCGGGGAGAGAACATGGGCAGATTTGACGGAATAAAAATGGAAATCTTCTCCTGGCGTCAAAATTAAACCAGCAAATGAAAAGGCAGAAATAACACAGGGCCTGGGAACTAGATTGCAGCCAACATGACAGACAACGGCTTAATTTCTTTGTTAAATAAAGAGCTTAGAAGACTATCTGCGAAGTCGAGGCAGTGCAGCCGCTGCAAAGTTCAGATGGTGTTTGGAGGGAGACGGGGTTATTAAAGCGCCGGGAGAGGAACATGCTAAAGGCTTGCGCGTGGAGGGAAGATCGCGCGAGAGCCGTGCGTGGCGGGAGGATTCTGGGGAGTGGTCTGATTTACATATTCATGTTTCCTCCCCATTTTCCTAGAATTTCAAATTTTAAGGGGTACGTCTTAGCTAAAAGAAAGGGGTGGCGTGAGTCTGTTGACGTTTGGTCTGTTATTATTATTATAAGTCGTGGCAACAGCCCGCCTCAGGGAGCGGTTGCTATGCGGGAGCTGGGAGGGGGACAGGCTTTTCAGCCATCATCTCATTTAACTCGCCACGGGAGGGAGGTCGTTACCATCACCCCCATCGCCGCAACATAGAAGCGAACGGGCAAGGCCGGGAGCTGAGAGCTGGGGGGGGTGGGAAGGGGGCGGCAGGAGGCGCGTGAGCGGCGACACACGTGTGCTAAGTGCTTGTCAGAAACGTGAAACCAAGGCCAAGGCAGTCTTAGACGAATTGATGGGAAGTCCTTGAAATTGACATGTTGGGGAAAATGGCAGAGAAGCAGAGCTCCCCTCCGCGTGGCCACACTCGCCGCCAAGTGCTGCCTGCGGGGGAGGGGGGGAGGGGGGGCGCCCAGCGG